TCCTTGATTAACCCAAGATCATTGAGATTTTTGCCTGTTTTCTATAAATTTTATAGTTTCAGCTGCTGCACTTTAGTCTATGATCAATCTTGAGTTAATTTTTGTATAGGCTGTGGAAGAAAGGTCATTTTTTTTTTGCTTTTTCTAATGTAGTTATCCAATTCTTCCAGCACCGATTTTTTAAAATATTATAATTTCCCCCACTAAATTACCTTGGTGCATTAGTCAAAAACCAATTATTTATGTCTATGCAGGTCTATATTGAAACTCCCTATTCCGTTCCATTAATCTATATTCCTATCCTTATGCCTAAACCAGACTGCTGTGATTAGTGCAGCTGTCAGGTAGCTAAAGTCCCCTACTTTGGCCCTAACCGGTTTGGCTCAGTGGATAGAGCGCTGGCCTGCAGACTGAAGGATCCCAGGTTCGATTCCGGTCAAGGGCATGTACCTTAGTTGCAGGCACATCCCCAGTGGGGGGTGTGCAGGAGGCAGCTGATCAATGTTTCTAACTCTATCCCTCTTCCTTCCTCTCTGTAAAAAATCAATAAAATATATTAACAAATAATAAAAAAAAAATAGTCCCCTACTTTGTTCTTTTTAAAAAAATGTTTATTTCTACCAAAGAAAGAGAGCCTGCTGAGATTTTTGTTGAGATTGTGCTTAATCTATAGACTTGGGGGGAAACTGAAGTCTTAACAATATTGAGTATTCTGATCCATAAACATGGAGTCTATTTCTTCACTCATTTAGGTTTTTATTTTCTCAGAATTTTGCTGATATATTCAATACATTATGCCAGACTATCCTTAAGTGTTTTTGCTGTTATTATGAATGCTATTATTTGAACTTTCAATTCTTTGCTGTTGCTGGTATCTAGAAATAGAATTGATTTCTGTACAACAGCCTATCTCCTGTAACCTGCTTGACTCACTTATCAGTTCTAGTAGCATCTTTTGTAGATTCCATAGAATTTTCTACATAGATGACCATGTTGTCTGTGAACAAAGTATTACTTCTTCCTTTTAAAATGTAAGTGTTTTCCATTTCTTATTCTTGCTTCACTGAACAAGCTATGACCTCCAGTACAACTTGAATAGAAGTGGAGAAAGGGGGCATATTTGCATTGTCCTAGTATAAGGGGAAAGCGTTTGGTCTTTCATCATTAAATATAATATTAGCTGTCAGTTCATTTGGGCTGCTAGTTATCACATTGAGGAATTTCCCTTATGAAATTCCGTAGGTTGAATTTCAAACATTAAATCAACCATGCATTCCAAAGATGTCACTTGGCCATATATTATCATACTTTTATATCTTCCTGATTTAAATCTGCTAAAATTCTGTTAAGGATTTTTGTATCTAAGTTCATGAAGAGCATTGGTATGTAATAATTTTTCTTTTAATGCCTCATTCTGATTTTGATATTGTAACAGAATTAACACGTATTCTTTTACCTATCTGCTACCTATACCACAATTCAAAACACATTTTTCTCTTGCCCACAAAGATATAACACAAGATATTGAGTCAAATTTGGACTATTGCTGGCAAAATGCTATCACAGAAGGCTAAATTATATATCTGAGCATAAATAGAAGGTAGTTTTGTACAATCTTGAATCAGTCTGTGAACATCTGGTGATTCCTGTCTTCTTTCCATAGGTATACAACCAGTGACTGTTATCTTTTGAACTACATCCTATTATTTTTTCTAATATATTAATAATTTTGAGTTTAAAATTGTTTTTTTTTAATTTGTTGGACCAAACAAATAGGGTCTTTTCAGGATTTCCAAGTAAAGCGTCATTTAGTATGTTCTAATATAAAAGTCAATTGTGAATAGGTAGATAAATTTGCTGATTCAAATGAACTGAATCTAAACTATTTAAATTATTTTTATATAATACAGGATCTGACAATGAGAACAAAACTTTACTCTAACTGTTTAACTATATTACATTTGGTAAGTTATATTCTATCAACCACCAAAAAGATTATAGGTTTTTTTAAATTGAATTTTTTAAAAAATATATTTTTTATTGATTTCAGAGAGGAAGGGAGAGGGAGAGAGAGAGAGAGAAACATCAATGTCGAGAGAGAATCATTGATTGGCTGCCTCCTGAATGCCCCACACTGGGGATGGAGCCCGCAACCCAGGCATGTGTCCTAACCGAGAATTGAACAGTGACTTCCTGATTCATAGGTCAATGCTCAACCACTGAGCCGTGCGAGCTAGGCAATTATGAGTTTTTAAATAATTGTTACGTTTCTTTTTAGGTTGCACCAGGTAACATTGACATATATAATAAAGACATACTGAATAGCAGGAATTTAAAGTCAAAAGTCAAAGGAGTCTACAGTAAATGTGCTGTGTACTACATATGATGTAGCATGGTACATCTAGAGCCATTCTGGATTGAATTGTTCTGCATATTATTATACAGAGGTATATAAATAAACAAATTCCTCCTAGATCTGTGCTTTGTAGTTAGAAAAATACTAACTACATTTAGTAATTTTTAGATATCCTTTAAAAAATAAATTTTAGTAACCAATGAATGTGATAGCTAAGTTATCAATGAATAAGAAATATAGAACCATACCTATTTTAAATCCTCAGTTTAAAACCGTTCATTAAAACTACAGGTCTAATTTTTGGATCTGATTTTATATTAATACCTTATTATGAAGAACTACTACATAAAATATATCCAGTGGATTCAAATATTATTTTTAATAAGTTAAAATTGAGAAAAGACTCAATTGAGACCCAGGGTTAAATAATTTGGGTGAACAAAGGAGCCTAGAGGTCCCATTTTGATATCAAGATTTTTGCAAAGAGAACTAGGAAATAAGATATAAGCCTTTAGAAGAGGAAAGTAGAATGTTCTATAACCTCAAGGTAAAAAAAAAGTGGAATGAAAGGTTAGTGTACCAGGAAGTAGAGATAACTAGGGGACAGTGAGGTGAAGGGGTACTTCTTGGAGAGGAAAGAATCTGAAGTATGTTCTTTAAGATAAGTAGGTTCTAAACAGTATTTTGAACAGAAAAAGATGGCAGAGAGAACGGCACACAAAAAAATTCACAAGTCATATTCGAAGGATAATGACTACACCAGTATTGACTGAACCAGACCATGAACATAGGAAGATAAGTGATAAGATATGGTGATGAAATATTTTTAATACCAGGATAGAGAACTTAGATTCTGCCCAGAGTGGAGGGCCATTGAAGGTTTCTGAAGAGAGGGACATGATGGATGCAGAATCACTATTTCTACCCACAGGTTTTAGTTGTACTACTAGAGATACACAGAATGAGTCAGTAGCCTTTTCCCATAGCCCTTCATATATGTGAATACTGCTATTGTGTTTGTCCATTAGGGATAAGGATGAGAAGGACAGTTGCAAAAAGGGAGAGACTGAAATCAGGATGACCAGTTGAGAAGTCTTTGGTGATCTGTACAAGGCTTGAGATGATAACAGCACAGAATTATGAAGAGAAAGGAATGACTATGATTTCATGTAACCACAAACTTTTTTTCCAATTGAGAAATGTTTTTATAAGTTGAATGTGTATCTTATTTCACTTTTAAATTCACTTTAAATTCTAATGGGCAGCTTCAAACCAAGTTCTATACTGATATATGACAGTCCAGAAAGATAATCACATGTACTCTTGCCAATTATCTACACTAATAAAAGAGAAACATACAAATTGGTGTCACTCCGCTATGCCCACCAGCCAATCAGGATGAGTATGCAAATTAACCCAACAAAGATGGCAGTTAATGCAGGCACGGAGTGAAGATTGAAGGCTCCAGCCCGAGTGAAGACTGAAGACTGAAGAGGCTTGGCTTCTCTGCTGCGGCCAGAGTGAAGGCCTGGGTCCTGGGTGCAGGAGAAAAACCAGTGCCGGCAGCCAGGGGAAGGAAGGCCTATTGCACGAATCTCTTCATGCAATGGGCCTCTAGTTTTACATACTTTCTCAGGACTAGGGTATTCTTGAAAGATAATCATAAAAGTTATTGAGGTTGTATTTCTTAAACATTCCCTTCAGCATTAATGGGTGCTTTCCAACTAAAAAAAAGTCTAAATTCTTAAACTCACGCTTGTGCAACATAAAATATGCTGTAATTAAATCATAATTTTATCTCGATCAATTAACTCATCAATATTTTCAGAATATTTGGCCATTTCATTTTGATGATAACATTAAAACACTCTCATAATTACACATACTAAATAATGTCCCCTTATGTATCCATTCACAGGATATTTGGAGAAGTATAAGACATAAGCAATATTATATTAAAAAATAAGTACCCTATGACCAAATAAAACAAATTTCAAAGTTTGACCTTAGTTGGCTAAAGACTACTTTCCAGTATATTTGTTTTCCAAGCTACAATTTTCAGAACCCCAGGATTGGATATAAATTTTAAGGTCCAAAAGAATGCACCCTCTATTCTATTAAAGTTGGAAAAGCAATAGTTTACCAAAGTATAATTTTATCTGTTTCTTTAAAACAACAAAAATATTTTTAAAGCATTATTAACCTCAAATCATTCAGTCTGCTTATCTAAATAACATGTATCATTGAATATATGTATAATTATTTCAATTTACTATGTAACTGATTTTATTAAAAGGATTTGAGGCCAAAGGTCTTATTTATTGAGGACATAATGAGAAATTCTATCTTCATAGCAATTCTTATTGTACTAGCAATAAGGTACACTAAAAAACCTCAATAATTAACCATAGTGATTTATACTGTACACTCCTGATCTTCATGTCTTTCTAGAATACTATAATTTTTAGTTTTAAATTACATTTGCATGAACTAATTACATTAAAGAAAAATAAAAAAACTAAAGGCAAAATTTTAGCATTTAGGTAAACTTGTTATAATTACATATATCTATAAGTATAATCATAGAAAATTTAAACAAAATATCAAGTAATGAAATTGTACATATCTGAAGCCACAGGTTTACCTGACGTTGCCCTTGGTGTTTCTGAGAACTGTTGCAGCAAAATTCTGTGTGACTCCCACCAAGCTGATTCCATCCACTTCTACAATCTGGTCATTGACTTGTATTCTTTGGGAAGAGGAAAAAAAATTACCCATATTTAATTTTTACAATAATATATTTCCATCACAATAAATTAGTTGACAAAATACTTGCTTTTAAAGATACTCTTATTGATACAAAATTTGTCTTTTATATACAAGCTCTAGATCTTAGTCAAATGCTTAATGTTTTTAAAAGATTATTTTGAAGAATAGAAATAGGCAATACTAAATGAAGAGACTCACTTTATCCAACATCCAAATTCCTATCACAAAGAGTTGATAACTGTTAATGTATGACATATTTTTATCTTTTTTTGTCTTTAAAATTACTTAAAACATAACAAATGCAGCTTAAATACCCTTTGGGCTTCATACCTTCTCCCACTTCTCCTCTCCGAGGAAGAACAACAAGAATTGCAGGGAATCCTTCATGTATATAAATTTATATATGTACACACATAAAGGTGTGTGTGTTTGTGTGTGTGTGTGTATTTTGTTTAGGAGCAATATACAGTACTAGTGTTGTTTGATGTATAATGCTCTTAAATTTACATACATGTTTTATATATATTTTTTAATTACTCAACATGAAGTATTTAAATCATAGAGAAATACAGAGGGAATTAGATAATAAACACTCATGCACCAATATCCAATTTTATCAGATCTTAGCACTATGCAATATTTGAGTCAGTTTTTTTCTAAATAAATTTATTACAGAAAAGCTGAAGCCCTTTATTATTTGTCTCATTCTGTTCCCTTCACTGCTTCCACAGAGGTTAGGTAACCATCATACTGATTTTGATGGTTAGCCTTTCTACTGATGTTTTGAAATACAAATAACACGTATGCACAAATAGGCATAATACGTGTACATTTCCAGTTTTCAAACTTCATCGTAAATCTCTTTTTCTACAATTTAGTTTGCTTCACTCAACGTTATATATGAGATTTATCCATGGTTATAAATACAATTTTAGCTAGTTCACTTTAACAACCATTTAGTATTATTTTTATGAATATATCAAAATATATCCATCCATTTTGTGCAGATGGACAAGTATATTATTTTAAGTTTTAGCTATTATGAACACTACTGTAATAATCAATTTCGTACATGTCTCTTTACACACTTGTTTCTCTAGGATGTATACCTAGAAGGAGAACTCCTGAGTCAAAGAACAGAGGCTTTTTCAACTTGAACAAACTGATAAAGTTCAGTTCAAAATGCTTACACCAATGCATATTCTCAGCAGCATTATATGAAAAGCTCTGACTCTCCACACCCTCACCAACACTTAGTATATTCAGACCCTTTACCTACTGCAGATCTTGTCCATGTAAAAAGATACACATTGTAATTTTAATTGCATTTCCCTGATTACCTGTGTGGCTGAATGTTTTATCATATGTTTACAAGTCAACTGTTCACTTTTGCACACTGTTAGATCATGTCTTTTACTCATTTTTTGTTGATGTTGGGTTGTGTCTTTTTTTTTCTTATTGGTTTACATAATGTTTTTCTATATCCTGTATAATAACACGGTCTCAATTAGATATGTAGCAAATACTTTTGCCCCAATCTGTAGCTTGTCTTTTCACATTTCTCTGGAAAACAGTGGTTTTGAGGCAAACAATTTAATGATATATACACATAATTACATTTTTAATTTTAACTTTATATTAAGTAGTTTTTGTGTTTTGTTAAGAAATCTTTCTCTGCCTCAATATTATAAAATTATTCTACATTTTCTTCTATAGGTTTTAACATTTTGTTTTTCTGCATTTAGGTAGATATCCACCTGGATATTATTTTTTATTATAATGTGTTAGCAATCTTTTTATTTTTTCAAGATATAAACAATCGGCTTAACATTTAATAAAAAGTCTGCTTTTTACCTCACTGATTTGTAATGGTTTTTCAAATGTGCATCAACATGTTTTGGTTCTCTATTAGTTTCTACTTGTCTGTTTATCTATCTCTGCATACTATATTGCTTCATAACTAGTTTTGACACTTGTTAGGGCAATTTCTTTACCTAGTTCATGGCCGTCAAAAATTTCTGAGCTATTCTTGAGCATCTCTTCATAACTAGTTTTAGATTTACTTGCCAAGTTCTATAAAAACACATACTAGTTGGTATTTTAATAACATCATACTGATTTTTAAGATTAATTTATGGAAAACTGGTATCTTTATCATATTGATTCTTCCCATCAATAAAAATTGAGTGCTATTACAATCACCCTAGGTAAATGTTGTGCCATGTGTTAAGAAAAGTTATTTAAAGCTTGGAAATAGGAATAAAAGAAGGGCAACATTTCCTTTCAATGTCATATAGGTGCATTACTTAACAGGCCCAACCAAGGATAATTTGGGGGAATGTATTTTAATTGATCCACTGTTTAATATTGACTAAAAGTCCTAGACATATTGTAGTTGCATGTTAATTTGTAGATGTTTGTCCTGAAAAAAAGTTGAATACTTTTCTTCTGTTAGAAAAGATAATCCCATAGGTCATAGTTTATATCTCTGTGGAATATTAACCAGTTTTATATCAAACATATATCATACAGCCTATGAGTGTAGTATATACCATTTATATTTGTGTAAGTGTACTCTAGGATGCTCACACAATGCCAAAATCACTTAATGATGCATTTCTCAGAACATATCTCTGTAGTTAGGTGGCACATGACTATATATTCAACTCTGCATATGCATATGCTAAAATGTTTCAAAGTTACTATAACTTTGCATTATATTAAAAAATGCATTCATCCTTTCACTTTAAGAAGTAAAAATAGTGTGTGTGGCTATGGAAAATGATATTTGCTAGTCTGCTAAATTGCTTGCATATGATAGGCAATTATTAAGTTCCTATCTGCCAGTGCAGGTTAAAAAGAAGTTAGTTAAGTAGGCCATAAGTTCAATTTAATATGGATAAGTGAAGCTATGCCCAGAAGCAATAGTGACAGAAAAAAAAATAATTGTGCAGATGAGCTAATGAAATGAATTTTTGTTTTTCTAGAAAAAGGATAGTACCCACCAGCTATAGAATATGAAAGAACATACTGAAAATACATACAACTTCAGTGTGTATATTAAATTGAAGACGGTTTGAAGAAGTGATTGTTATTTGCTTGAATCTCTTTCCCTGAGAGAGAATAACCTTTTATGCAACCTCACAGAATAGTAACAATGAAAAGCCCTCTCAAGTCTTGGCTCATAATTAGAAGCACAAAAAAGCCAAGGATGAGTCCTGGCAGTAAAAATTAAATGGACAGCTCTCTGCATCAGACCAACCCACAATGAAGAATATGTATAATCTGGATTTTCCAAAATTTTCCACAACAGCAGAGAAAATAGCCTATTTGCCCTGGAACAGTGACCACTGGAATGGAATTTATGGGAATGTACCTGACTAATCTATAAAAGGCATCTCGTACCGGCCATTTCCTCAACAGTTTCCATGTGCTAACCAACACGTGTGCAACACAACTGCTCTTCAGCTGCAGTCTGACATTTCTGATAACCCTCAATTCTGAATCTATAAACCAGTACCAAGGGGGTAAGGCTAATAAAATATATAAGTTGGATTGTTCTAGGATTTGTTTAATGTTACTGGGTAGTTATTTACTGACATGATGTATTGGGCAAGGGGAAACAAACAAAAAAAACTCTATCTCACTGGGCTTATGCAAACAAAGCAACCAACAATGAATGAAAGGAAGACCAGCTGGAGCAACAGTAATGGTCAACAGAGTCTTCCCCAAAATGCTAGATAGTGAAGCTCTGAATGCATATGAAAATACATACCTATCAAAGCAGTAATACCCCAACTTGCTCAGGGGGGGAACAAGCAAAATATTTGATTAGAAGAGTGACACAGGAGTGTGTGCATAGAGGAAACCATGGACTAATGAATTATGGCGGATGGGCACAATTAAAATGGCAGTTTCCATTGAGGGTTCTCGCAGGCTTGAGGATACTTCCGGGGCACAGAGGGGTCCTACAGGAGGGCGAATTTGTGGCAGGGTAATCATAAGAATAATGATTTGCCCCAATCTGTAGCTTGTCTTTTCACGTTTCATGTTTTATATGTTGGTGTTACTGAAAAGATTGGTCAAAAACAATTCAAATTATTCGAAAACCCAACACTTGAATAATGATAAATTACAAAGTGCTTCAATTTCACTTTCGATATTCCCCCTCCCCAAACCTGAAAGAACGGTACTGTAAAATGATGGTATCCAAAAGGTTGAGAAACAACCAGAAGAGACAAAAACAAAGCAGATTGCAAGAACATTTTTAACTTGCCTCTGTAACACAGCATTGTTACTATCTTTTGTCAGTTATCACCCACGTATTTTATTCCACAAGTATTTTCAATTGGGTTATTATGAAATGCATTTTGCTTTATAAGTTCATTAAAGAGGACTGGAGAAATAGTGTGTTAAAGTGTTTTGTGTACAATCATAAAATTTATGGCAGCAAAAACTAATGGTTAATATATTTAATATTATTTTACTATAAAATTAGAATAAAAACAGAAGGTGGAAATAGCTATCATGTCACTCAGCTAAATTACAAGCTACCCTGTATAAAGGCAAGGTTGCACAAAAAGGAAGAAAGAGAGAGGAAGATAGAAGAAAAAAAAAGAAGGGGAGGGGAGAAGAGGGGCAGAAGGAGTAGGAAAGGTAAGAAGAGAATAAATATAAAAAGAAAAATTTAGGCCCAAGTAAACATTTTGAAAGTGATTGAAGCACAAGGATTCATTCACTCAACAAATATTTATTGAGCACCCTCTATGTTCCAGGCATCATTTGAAAAGATACAGACAGACATGAAAAGCTTGACAAGAGAAAATTTAGAAACTAGAACATAATATCAAAGAACAAGGACTCAAAACTTTTTAACTATACTGGATGACACAGGAGATAAATATCCATGGCAAATTTTAAAAAGTACTTAAAATGTGGTAAGAGTTCAAGATGTTTGTAAGGGATAAAAGCAACCACAATAAAAAGGCTTATTGTGCTGGGGTAAGAAGAAGGAAGAAAAGAATTTCCTATATATTTTTTAACATCCCTTGAAAATAGTCTGACCAAATCTGAGATTAAATTAAAAGAGTTTTTTCAAATAAGGAAAAGTTATTTAGAAACTAAGGCAAGCTAGAAAGGTATAATACAGACTCTTATCCTTTTAAAGTTAAAAGGAACTATAAAGAACATCTAGCTCTGGCCAGTGTGGTTCAGTTGGTTGAGTGCTGTCCTGTGCACCGACAGGTCACTGGTTCAATTTCTGGTCAGGGTACACGCCCAAATTCTGAGCCTCAATCCCCAGTAGGAGCCATGCAGGAGGCAGCCAATCAATGTTTTGATATTTCTGTGGTGAAAGTATGTGCTGATCTCCACAGAACATATTCTTAAACTAAGTACACCCATGTTTCTGCCCACTTCCTACTATATAAATAGATAAATGGATAGATACCAAGTTAGACATAGATAATAGATCTATCCACCCATTTTCATAGGTATTCTGCCTACAAATCAGAAAGTAATTCAAGTGTTTAACATTTTCTACATATGAGACACACTGACATTCTGTCCTAAAACATCAAAAGAAGAAAGCTGAAAAAAAGAAATTCCCAGAAAAGTTTCCTAGATTTTAGTGGTCAAAAGCAGTGACTAGCTTACCTGCCATCCCGCTGAGCAGCACCACCTTCTGTTACTGTCTTGACAAATATTCCCAGCTTTTCAAGTCCAGCATCGGCTCCAACACCCATTCCAATAATACTTATGCCAAGTCCATCCTCATCTATGAAAATGGGTAAAGATACATCAATCTAAGTGTTACACGACTCTGCAATTAACTGGTGAGGCCTATTTGATCCTTTTAATTTTGATCTTTATGGATTATCCCATAGTCCATATGATAGATGCTTGCTTTGGAGAATTTTTTTTTCTTATGCCGGGGAGCAAGGGTGTCAAATAAGAACCCCCAAAAGGCTCATGAGTTTAGTTTATTACTACTGCGGTTAGCTATTTACTGTGATCCAAAAAAAAGGTAATAATTTGATTATTGAGTGATTAATCTGCCTTAAAACATGGCCCCTCTAAACAATATAATTTAATATTTTAAGCACAAAAGCATACATAGTTAAACAGTTATATATTCTTTTATTTGTTTGCTTTGTTTATTTATATTGGCAGGGTAATAAAATTCTTGAGTCATACTTTCTTTTTCTGAGAAAAGGATGTTCTATTGCCTTTTTAAAAAATTTATCTTTATTGGTGAAAGTATTAGAGATGTCCCCCCATTTTCCCCCATTGACTCCTAGCTGACACTCAACCCCTCCCCAGGCCTTCACCACACTATTGTCTGTGTCCATGGGTTATGCATACATGCATACAAGTTCTTTGGTTAATCTCTTCCCACCCACCCACCTCTGCCTTCTCTATTGTCTTTTAGTCACTCGGAGGCTTGTCTGATTTCACTTCCATTAATTATTCAATTTTTGTTGTCCTCCTTTCACACAAAAAATTCTTTGAGGTTCAATAATTTTACATTCATATAACTCTATGTGGACCATTCTGGCTGAATTTTTCCTGGCTGAGCCATATATATTATTTTAAATAAATGTGGTCATAATATTTCTGGAATTTCCCCTTTATTTATATGGGTTGTTTTTACTTGTCCAAGATCACCATTCGTGTTAAGATGGTATTTGTCTTTCAGTACTTTCTCTGTCCTGCTATCAAGGATAGAATCTTATCAACAACTACAGTGTACATATGGCTGGCTTTTCTTTTCTATTTGCTTTACACAAATAAGATCATAAGACACCTACTTTCCTCTTCAGCTTACTTTTCTAATTCAATAATATGTCATGAGTATCAACTTAACATAGCTTTAAATCCCTTCTAATGATTGTGTAATATTTTATGGTGAGACAGAATGATAACATATCCAACCATTTCCCCAGTGACAGGCATTCACTTTTGTTTCCATTTTATTGGCCCTATGAAAGATACTGACAAAAAACACATTGTTTTGAATTCATTTACAAATCATGTGTTTCTCCAGCCTATGCTTAAGTGTGGATTTTTTATTAAGTCCTTGCAATCAGTTGGCTAAGTCCTTTCAAATACAAGGATCAAGTTGTTTTTGAGCTCAGGAAATTTTTCTCTATATCGCTCATCCTCTATTGCCATTTCCCTTTCTTTGTATGTTGAGTCTCTACAATTTTTCTTGGATTTTTGCTCTGTCATTTGAGAATTAGTTTGGGACTCTTCTTATACTTGAACTTCTTTGTCACCAACTTGATCTCAACAAAATCATCCTTTCCTCTTCAATTCCTCTACTGACATTTTTATTTTTAAAAATTGTTATATTTTTGTGTTATTGTTAATTTGATTAAGAATGTCTTTTTAAAGCCATACTTAAATATCTTTATTTGCTTTTTTTTGTTGTTTGCTTCCTTTTTGTTATTCAAGTTGTCATCTGTTGGGCTTTTTTCTAAAACTTTGAGATGTGACAGTCTTCTGTTCATTGGTCAGAGTCGAGTTCCCAGCTTCCTGTCTTACATGACAATAAACATGGTGGCCTCTGGTCCTGTGGGTCCCAGTTACTGCAATAGGTGGACTGTAATTCCAGGGAGAGATTTCAGCAGGAGGCCCCGCTGCTCCCGTCTGCCTGCTCTCCTTTAGCCCTTTCTCCTCAGAGATGAGCAGTCCACTGCCTTTGTTCCAAAATTCCATAATTTTCTGAAAGCCCAGTACTCCTCATATCTACCATATTCAGAGTTTAACCATGACCACTCTCCCTCCACAAAAAACAACAAACAAACAAACACAAAACACCACTTGCCCCACACTCTCCAACAGCTCTCTCCGGGGTCTCACCTCGCCAGCCCTGTGCGGGAGTACCGACCAAGCATCAGGCCTTGTTCATGCCTCCCTACTCGTAACCACCATCCAGCCAACTACAGTAGATAAGTTCCAGTTGGGAGTGGACAGCTAGAGAGAATCTTTCAATCTACCATTTATAGAGAATTTATATCAACTAGTTTTGAAATTTAATAGATAAACTCCTGCATGAGAATTAAAATTTGATCCAATCCTTAGGGGAGAAAAAAGCTATACTTGGGGAAAATAAAGTCATTTCTGTATTATTAACATAGGAATATAATAATATTACAAATGATGTAGAGTTCATATACCTTTCTCCAGTTCCACTGGGAAAAGTTCCAACTTTTCTACACGCTTTTCAAGTTCATACTCAGCTGAAGCAGCCACAGGGTCAACTTCATCATTTCTCCTGTCATAGTCTTCATTGGAGTATGTGCTGAAAACCTGTAGGAAAAGATCAACAAAAAGATGATAATCCCAAAAGGATGGCTTTCTAAATTACAAAAAAAGAAAAATCTAAGTATCTAAAAGTACATAAGTTAAAAATTTTGTGTCATGAATTTCATCTAAATAACTGTTTTATTTTAAAAGTCAATTGAGATGTTAAGAGGAAAAATGAATGAGAATAAACATATCTTACTAATTTAAAAATATATGAGTCATTCTACCACTTTTAACAATTTCGGAAACAATAGGAGCCACAGAATACATTATTTGGATGGCAATAGTAATTTCTTTTTATAGAATCAGAATATACATACTAGCTACATGCTGGTTACTGATACAACTAAGGCAAAGCATCGTGAAGCTATCTAAGCCAGCGGTTCTCAACCTGTGGGTCGCGACCCCTTGGGGGGGTCAAACAACCCTTTCACAGGGGTCGCCTAAGACCATCGGAAATACACATATATGATTACATATTGTTTTTGTGATTAATCACTATGCTTTAATTATGTTCAATTTGTAACAATGAAATTGGGAGTCACCACAACATGAGGAACTGTATTAAAGGGTCTCGGCATTAGGATGGTTGAGAACCACTAAGCAAACACCCACACTGAACCTATTTCACGGTATGACCTAAACAAGCCCCAACACTGTAGTGTGTCAGCACCATAACTGTTTTTCAATCACAGAATCGCTGAAATTGATTTCTATTCTATACTCTATTAGGCATGTTAAGCTCTTGTTTGTCATCCCTCAGTTTACTTGCATGTAGATTTAAATTAAATTCTCATTGAACTTTTCTATGTAAGTTAGGTCCTCGGGTTACATCGGAGATACGTTCCTACGGGGCGACATAATGCGATTTTCGCCGTTAAGTCAGAACCCACCTACATAAGCACCTACGTCACTCACATGGAGCACATACACAGTGGTAATGAAGTGAAACAGTAAAAAAAAATTAAAAGAAAGATAACAATTCCTGACCTTTACTTGTGGTAAATAAGTAAAAAAAAAAAAAGCACATATGTACATACCTCGAAATGATGGGAATTTTATTTTTTTTATAAATAAAAGGGAGATGGCGACGTAACCATGAAACGACGTATGTCGAGTCGAACGTAACCCAAGGGACTGCCTGTAATGGCTATCAAAACCTTGCTCAAGAGATTGATAGCTCGTTCTTTCCTACCTAAACAATTCAAAAGACTACTGAATGTGGTCTTTAGACATACTAATAAGAAATATGAAAGTCTGTTTCTGCTGAATTATTTGTTTGAAATATTTATTTGAAAAGTAACTGACAATAATAAGTATGCAACCCCTTGCTTAATACACTGAAGAATATTTAAAAGAAAGGAACTTATTATTCATCAAGTCCAATTAATAGAAATAATAAAAACTGACATTTTTCAATTAAATTCAGTAATTACTAAGTACATGAACTGTGCCTTAAAAATTCTGTAATGTCCCTCAAAATCCTAAAAACTAGGAATGAGTTGTGTGTTTTTTTTAATATACACAAAAAGCTACAATAAAAATAGAAAGCAGAACAGAAGGTTAGAGGAGAAATCATGTCCATTGCCTACAAAGCCAGCTCTGGCAGTCCAAGTGTGCTTTACACATATTATTGAAAAATTGGCAACTCTTATATACTGTATATGGCAACTTATAAACCAGGAATACACATTGCATATATAGAAGCAGATGTAGTGTGGTTCCTAATGGTATATATGTCTCAAAATCATGTCATTTATAGGATCTGTACCAGAATTAATTGTTTTTCTCCCTGACTTTCAAAATGTTTTCATAGCCTCATGCTTCTTGCTTGGTCTCTACCATATTTCTCTACCATAATAAACATTACACCACATTCCTAAATGGGAAAGAATGAGATATTCATCTGAAAATATTTCTATTTCACATCATTAACAAAAGTTAAATCCAGATTATTAAGAACAAAAATTTGTAAGAGTACTAAAAAATATATGAGGCAATGTTTAACAGACTAGAGAGGACCTTCCTACAAAGGCACAGATTATAGAAATACTAAAGCAAATGACTAAAGACGTGAATCACTGCTATACATGATATGTGCATGCAGGGCCACCACTTTAAGTCCCATCAATTGTATGGTGTGTTGCCTATGGTGGCAAAGGAGTGATTCCCTTTTGTCTATGGCAAGAAGAAAGTAGTGGTCAATGTCTCATACCATCTTAGGTAAGAAGTTAAAATTTCAAAACCAAGATAAGCTGGTAAATGCCCCATCTCTCCATACAACAATGGGCCACTTCCACGCCAGATTTTATTAAGCATTAGCTGTATCTTACAGAAAAACAGTGAAAGCAATGCTGTTTCCTAAACTATATTATTCATAAGATTGGATAAAAATATGTACCACAAACTCAGACTTCCTACCTTTTCTGTGACAACTGCTTTGTTATAATCATTGCCAGAGTAGTGAGGTGGTAAGGCCTAATGCCCCTCTTGACTAACAGCTTCCATTGAGAGAGCATGTTAGAGGAACTATCTGAATGTTTCTTTCATGTAAAAAAATTAAAGACTGTTATAACTGAAGCTTTACAAAAGACTGTGATTCTATAAATTGCATATCAAGGCAATATTTGTTATTGAATGTGCCCCGATACACTGACTAATTCCTACAAATAATTGCAGGCAATCTCCTACGGACATTGAATTTTAAGTGTTTAAAAACCAATTTTCATTAACCAGCACTAATACAAGATTAAATAGGTTTTACCCTGAGATTTTCTTGAGTTAAATCATTGTCATGCACACAGTTGCTGAATCCCTACCTGTGTCCAGAGCTGTGCACTGTCAGTATGCAGTGGCTCAGTGCCTGCACGCTTTGTTTTGCCTTGACCAGGAAGAACCTCAGAGATGCCAGGAAGCTGACCTTGGTAAAAACTGCCTGTTTCATCAATAGGTCTTCATTCTTTAAATATATTTGCAATTGTTCTACCATTTTTAATTAATTTACCATAACTGCTTTGCAAAACTATGGATAGTTACTCAGATAATAATCAGAGCCCCCTCATAATATTAAGGCAATGCAAAAACTCTAAAGGGCAAGAGCATCCTGGACCCGCATATTCAACACCATCAAAAAATACCTACATATTAAGTTCAGTCACCCTCACATTGTTCCTGTGTTATCTGACTGAGAAAAGCAAACAAAAGGATGTTTAAATTTAAGACTGCTTGTTTGAAAGCCAACAAGCTATATTCTGTTCCTTTATCAAAAGAAACAGAACAAGACCTTGTCCCTTGCTTTGTGGCAGAGGCAGGCTTTTAGGGGTAACAAGTTTACAAATACAGTTAGCAATGACATTCCTCACCCAGTAATCCAAGGCTACGAAAAACAAATAAAGTTAAAATTAGCTTATTATAAGATTTCAACTAGAATCATTCTTTTTTTCACATTTCTGGTAGCTAGTTCTGTAACACTTTTTCAAAAACAATAGCAACATTTTTTTAAAAAAATAAGGAGAAAAAACATATTTCCTTTACTTCCCATGACACATTTTCTTTAATCAATGCAGGTCAAAATAAATTCAGAATTTTCTGTAAATACTGACTGGAAGGAACCTCCCACAATGCTCCCACGAGGTCTCAGTTCCGCCTGTCGTCTGGGTTCCGCTTCATCTTCTTGACACATCAAAGATGGACAATGTTCCAGGTCCTAGCATGCTGCGTTTCAGATGATGGCTTGGCACAGCGTGCTCTTGGAGACCAGCCAAGCGTTCACATGCTTCCACAAACAAACCTCACTTACCATAAGCTTCCCTGGTAGAATTCCAACTCACCTTCACATGATTTTAGTGGCTCTGCTAAAGAGACTCTAAATTGAGACTAAGAGAGCATGGACAAGATAGTCCACGTCTTAAAGTTAAAAAAAAAAAAATGGCAATAAACCATCCTCTGAAAGAAGGATCCTGGCAGCTTTAGAATCATGAATGATAACTTCAGCCTTCTTTTTCTTTCCCCAGAACCAAGGCCAGTTCACTGATTTATGACAGTAAGAGAGATGGTTTTTTAATGCCTACTGTGTGCCAAGGAATATGTTAGGTTCTTGTTGCAAAGTTATGTAAGCCAAACTGGAATTCACAATGATCAGGCATTTGCAGGTAAACATTGTAGGTCTCCAAAGATTCTAAATAGGTGAGGGCTTTCTGGTGCCTACAAAAACATCGATGAGCAGGAAGATGAAAAAACAAACCCACAGCTCTATCATGTAAGCTCAGTAAAGTCCCAGATGTCTAACCTTAAGGCAGCGGTTCTCAACCTTCCTAATGCCGCGACCCTTTAATACAGTTCCTCATGTTGTGGTGACCCCCAACCATAAAATTATTTTTGTTGCTACTTCATAACTGTAATTTTGCTACTGTTATGAATCCTAATGTAAATATCTGATATGCAGGATGTATTTTCATTGTTACAAATTGAACATAATTAAAGCATAGTGATTAATCACAAAAACAATATGTAATTATAATATATGTTTCTGATGGTCTTAGGCGACCCCTGTGAACGGGTCGTTCAACCCCCCAAGGGGTCGCAACCCACAGGTTGAGAACCGCTGCCTTAAGGTATTCCAACTAGTACCCTGCCTGAAGATGTACTTAAAGCAGTTGTGATAGTATTCTATGGTAGAATGTGTCTAACCTTCTAATTGAATCACTCAACAAAATCCTACATATGAGGGCATGAGTGGGTGGGATGGGGGGTAATGTGGGGATAAGGACACATATGTAATAACTTAATCAATAAAGAAATTTAAAATAAAAGAATCCTATATATCAGAAAACAGTACCAAATGAGTACTAGAGTTAGGCGTTACTCCAAATGCTATTAGCTTGCTGGCCTTGTCTGACTCAAAGTCCATTAACATAAAATATTTCTAAGGCCAATCCATATATTTTCAACATTGCGCATTTCACCAATTATTTGTAACAACCCTAATGTTAATAAACCTTCTT